TACTTGCTACTATATATACAAAAAATGACAATAAAACCTTAATTAATGTTGTTGTGAGAATTTAAGTTTAATAATGGAGGGGTATTTAAATCTAATTGATCGTTAGATTAGCGTTCTGTATTAGTTTTCGGATAAATAGAGTTTACTGTTGTCTGGATTTGTTTTTTATTTATAATTTTATCGATAGTGGATAGTTCTTTGTTGTAATTTTCTGTTGAGAGTGGCGTATTAAGAATTCTGTGAATAAAAGAGTATATAAGGGTGATTTGAGCTGTTATGTATGACTGTGTCCGTGGGTGAAGGTTTATGGTAAATGGAAAAATCTAATTTGTTTTGCGTTTTCGTAATAGTTAAGTATAAAAAAATTATAAAGTTATCCTGTTCAGTCTCGATAGTGAATTTTATACGATTATATAATGAGTTAATGTAATTTAAAAAAGATTTCAATTGTCTGTCTGTTCCATCAACTTTTACTTAGAGAACTTCTACTTAAAGGATGTTCTAGTATGATATTTTCCGAATATCCATAAAAATCTCGGCTAACAAAGGACTAAATGGGTGTCCCATAATCAAACCTTCCTTAGAGATGTAAATATATCCATTAAATTCAAAATAATTTTGAACTAAAGACACTATTAAGCAATCTAATAAATCTTGTTTCACCAATGGGTTAACCTGTTACCGAGTGAGGGTGAAATCTACTAAATCTATCACATCCATAGGTGGAATACTGGAAAATAAGTTTCATACATCAAAAGACAATAGTGTTGCGTTAGAAGGGATTTTGCTATCTTCAATTTTGTTGATTAATCCAAAAGAATTTTTTATTGCAAATTTTGGTTTAAAATCTGTGTGGACCTTTAAAATATTTACTAGTTTTGTTGAGAGTTTAACTGCTGGAGCTGTTACATAAAACACGACTGGTCTAATGGGCATATCTTGTTTAAGTAAATTAACTATTAACTAAAAAATATAATTTCGGATAGTGAATTTTATACGATTATGTAATAAGTTAATGTAATTTAAAAAAGAATTCAATTGTCTGTCCGTTCCAACAAAGCAAGCAAAGACATCATCCACATATCTATACCACCATAGAAAACTTTTACTTAAACGATGTTCTAGCATGATATTTTCCAAATTATCCATAAAAATCTTGGCTAACAAAGGACTAAGTGGGTTTCCCATAATCAAACCTTCCTTAGAGATGTAAATCTGTCCATTAAATTCAAAATAATTTTGGTTTAAAGATACTATTAAGCAATCTAATAAATCTTGTTTCACGAATGGGTTAATCTGTTTCGGAGTGATGGTGAAATTTACTAAATCGATCACATCCACAGGTGGAATACTGGGAAAAAAGTTTTGTACATCAAAGGACAATAGTGTTGCGTTAGAAAGGATTTTGTTATCCTTAATTTTGTTGATTAATTCAAAAGAATTTTTTATTGCAAATTTTGGTTTAAAATCTGTGTGGAACTTTAAAATATTTACTGATTTGATGAATTCTTTTTTAAATTACATTAACTTATTACATAATCGTATAAAATTCACTATCCGAAATTATATTTTTTAGTTAATAGTTAATTTACTTAAACAAGATATGCCCATTAGACCAGTCGTGTTTTATGTAACAGCTCCAGCAGTTAAACTCTCAACAAAATTAGTAAATATTTTAAAGGTCCACACAGATTTTAAACCAAAATTTGAAATAAAAAATTCTTTTGGATTAATCAACAAAATTGAAGATATCAAAATCCCTTCTAACGCAACACTATTGTCTTTCGATGTATGAAACTTATTTCCCAGTATTCCACCTATGGATGTGATAGATTTAGTAGATTTCACCCTCACTCGGTAACAGATTAACAGAAACAAGATTTATTAGATTGCTTAATAGTGTCTTTAGTTTAAAATTATTTTGAATTTAATGGATATATTTACATCTCTAAGGAAGGTTTGATTATGGGACACCCATTTAGTCCTTTGTTAGCCGAGATTTTTATGGATATTCGGAAAATATCATACTAGAACATCCTTTAAGTAGAAGTTCTCTAAGTAAAAGTTGTTGGAACAGACAGACAATTGAAATCTTTTTTAAATTACATTAACTCATTATATAATCGTATAAAATTCACTATCGAGACTGAACAGGATATCGTTATTATTTTTTTAGACTTAACTATTACGAAAACGCAAAACAAATTAGATTTTTCCATTTACCATAAACCTTCACCCACGGACACAGTCATACATAACAGCTCAAATCACCCTTATATACACAAAATGGCTGCATTTCACTCTTTTATTCACAGAATTCTTAATACGCCACTCTCAACAGAAAATTACAACAAAGAACTGTCCACTATCGATAAAATTATAAATAAAAAACAAATCCAGACAACAGTAAACTCTATTTATCCGAAAACTAATACAGAACGCGAACAATTTAAAACGATTACATACATAGGAGAACCCAGTGAAAAAGTTTCCAAACATTTGTCAAAATGTGGGTTAAAAATAGTTTTCAGAACTAAAAACACCAGAGGTAAATTTTTAAAAAGCAGTAAAACGAAATGTCTAAAATCTCAAAAATCAGGTTGAAATGTGGATGTTGTCCTAAAATTTATATTGGACAAACAGGTAGATCCTTCAAGAAACGCATTAACGAACATAAAAGAGTTTTTAAAAACAATAGTCTAGACTGTAATTATTAAACACAGAAAAACAGATTTTTGACGACAATTTTGATATTTTACATACAGCCACAAAAAGCAGAAAATTAAATTTATCGGAAGCCATGGAGGTTAACAAAATGAAACATTCAAATGTATTACTTAAAGATCATTTATATTTAAATACCTCTCCATTATTAAAGTTAAATTCTCACAATAACCTTAATTCAAGTTTTATTGTCATTTTTCGGTATATATGGTAGCAGGTAGTTTGTATATATTACATTTGATAAAGACACAGTATTGTCGAAACAATAGTCATGTGAAAATATATAATTTCAGTAGATGTATAGTGCCGATATAAGCAACAGAAACCGTACATAACCTCAATTTCCTAACCCCCCCGCAGCGGGGGCCCCCCGCGCGTGGCGTCCTAGTGTCCCCCCTGTCTACCAGAGTGCGCTCCGCCCCCCACCCAGCTTGTGTAGCGTCCTGTTTTGCCCCGGTTCCGCCCGTCGCTGCTAGATGTCGCGCGCTTGTGTAGCGTCCTGTTTTGCCCCGGTTCCGCCCGTCGCTGCTAGATGTCGCGCGCTCCGACCGTCGTAGGCCCCCCCCCGGTAGAGGGCGGTGACGGTGCGGCGCGGTGACGCGGTGGATCGGGAGGATAATTAAATAAACTTGAATTTTAATACATTTTATTTTATTTTATTTATAAAATTGGTCTGGCGAGGAGTTTCTTCTTCTTTTTATGTCGATTCAGTCGACCATCCCATTGTTCCTGTTCCTTGCGTTGTTCTTCTTCCCGTTCCCGGAGGAAATCTAAATACGAAGTGCACTCCTCGCCGTCCCACTCCGTCGACCACCCACCCGGGTACTCCTGCTGCTCCTTTGTTTCTTTTGATCCACCGGGTTGCTCCTGCTGCTGGTGATGTTCCCTTGTCGTTTCATGTCGTACCGGGAATTCTAACCCCCGGTACTCTTTGTGTGATTTGAATATGTGACGCCCTAAGCGATGCGCCAACATAATATGCGACTTGTCATACGGACAAACCGCGATTTTTTCTAGAACAAAACAAAGTATGATATGTAGCGTTTCCTATAAAACACACATTTTTTTTTTAAACAAAACTTCCAAAAAGGGGGGTTATCAAATAATTTTAAAAATTGTTTTTTAAGTTATACGCGCATACCAAAATTCACGTTTCAATTCACTGTCATTTAAATGTAAGTGTATTATTGTCAAAAGGGCAAACTGCAATTTTTTAGTACAAAAAATAAACAAAAATATGTATATATTTCGCGTTTTCCCCATAAAACGCACATTTTTGAAACAAAACTTTCAGTAATTTTAAAAATTGTTTATTTTTTAAAAGCCAAAATTCCCTATTCACTGTCATTTAAAAGATATTAAAAACGCTCAATTTAATTCGATTATTATTGTCAAAAAGGCAAACTGCAATTTTTTAGTACAAAAAATAAAACATTTTTGAAACAAATTTAAAAATTGTTTATTTTTTAAAAGCCAAAATTCCCTTTTCCATTCACTGTCATTTAAAAGCTATTAAAAACACTCAATTTAAATCGGTTATTATGCAACGTAAAAAAGATGAGTATCATATTTTAAAACAGGTAGAAACTAACCAAAAAAGTGATAACCCAAACTGAAACCCACAAGAAAAGACGCGCACTGTATAAAGGTAATTAAAATATAAAACTTACCAGTTGTAGGGTCGTAGGGAAATGGACATCGCACTTCTCTATTCATTGCACTGAATATAGTCTATAATACACATGCAACGTATTTATACACATGCACTCCCTTCCATGGTTGAATTAAAAGTCGAAAGGTCTTCTACCCACAAGCACCAACGCCGATTTGAATAGACGCGATGTTGTCGCCAGACAACCGTGCAGGTAGGAGTCTCAGGGTCAACACGCTTTCACACGGGAACGCAACCGTTTCGGACGTTGGACGAACGTATGTTGCCGCAAAAGATCAAGGCCAACTTGCTTTCATTTTTTACAATCTCCGTATGGGATGTGGAATTTCAAAACGCGCCGAGTCTAAATGTCAAGTTGTTTTGCTTGTTGAGAATAATAATTAATTGCCCCCTTTATATTTGCTCCGTGGGATTAACGTAATGGGAAAAATTTGTTGCAACGCATGTGGAGGTGTCTTCGTTTGTTAACTTTTAGAAAGTATTCTCGCACCGTATAAATACATCTCATTTTTCTCTGTTTTGTCAGTAGTTGTTTTTGGTATTATTCGTGCAACGTGGAAGCTAACTTAGTGGTTTGGTGTTCGTACAAAAAATCAGTAAGTACCTTTTTTATTGTCTTATTTTAATTCTTTAACATTTGTTATTATTTTATAAAGTTCCTAAAGATCATCTTAGTACTCTCAACCCGTAACCGCAAATAGAATAGCAGCAATCTTAAGCGTAAGTTTTTTTTATTTTTTTAATTTTGAGATAAAATAATTAATAATAATTTATAGATGGACTTAAGTCAACTGAATCAAACCTGTCTTGCAGAAGGTGATTTTGAGCAGCCGATTGTCAAACTGCATGAATTGCCGATAGGCGTTCCGTTTAAAATTACTAGAGCCAAAATTGTTAATACAAAATTTGGCAATTCCGTGTTGCTGCAATTAGAAAATTCCGTAGTATTTCTTCCTACTCGCGTGACAGAAGCTTTCCGTCCGAGACTAGAACACTTTGCGTCGGGGCAGTACAAACTGGTCTACGAGGGATCCAAAGATATTGGAAAGCCCAACTCTTTAAAGAAATTCAAAATAATTCAAAATTAATCAACATATTATACAGGGTAAGTCTTATTTACTGTTATATATTTAATAAACCACGATGCGCGTAAAGCAGATCATTCATAGAGCGCAAATCTTAATTTTAACCTTACAAAAATTAAAAAAGCATATTTCCGACAAGTTCACTCTTAGAGATAGTGATGTGTGGCTTAGGAGACTAAGTAAAAATATTGAATCTTGCAACCAAATCGTTTCTAACGAAAAGGATTTATCTATTGGGTTAAAAAGAAAATTACAAACTACAATTCAACATCTGAAAGCTATTAGAAAAATTATTCTTAATTATCAACATAAGCATTTTGGATTGGGATTACAAAGTAGTAGCCGCGAGACAAACACAAATGAAATGGTTGTATGGGAATCGGTAGCGTCGTGTTTCCAGGGAAGAGTTCAGACCGGTGTCATAATTAATTTACTTCATAAAGATTTAATTCAATTTTTAAACGATTCTCGTCCAATATTTCAACAAAAAATTAGTCAAATTTTAAAGAAATTTTTATTGCTGAAAGTAAATACCACATTTTGCGGTGAATTTATTAAGGCAAAAAATGATGTCCAAGGCGAAGTTGATGTTAAATATCTGAGTACCGGAAATGCTGTAGTTGATTTAGGAACAGAATTGAATGATTGGTTTGTTGAAAATGTGCAAGATAAAATTTTAAATCAAATGTCAGAGTTTCAGGAACGTGATTCCGGGTGGGCTTTAAATAATATTATTTATTTAGAGATTAACATTAATAAATTTGAAATGGGTAACGGGTCATCCTTCGTTGAGTTGCCTAAAGAAATTGCGAATAAAAGGGCTTGTATTAACATTAGAAATGACGATCAAGCGTGTTTTTATTGGTCAGTTGTATGCGGACTCTTTCCAGCACGTTTTCGTCAGTATTTACCCTCTTCATATCCATACTACAAAAGTGTTTTGAAAACTGAAAATTTACAAACACCTATGGAAATGAATAAAATAAGCAAATTTGAAAAAGACAATGATATTTCCATCAATGTTTATATCTTAGAGCTTAATAAAAATGAAAAAACTAGTTTTTATTCCGTGTTACCTGCACGATTAACAAAAGAAAAACGCGAAAAACATTCAAATTTGTTGTTAATACAAAATAAATATTATCCAAAAGTTAATGATTTTGATCCTGATCCGCAAGATAATGATTATGAAGAAATAAAATATCACTATTGTTACATTAAAAATTTGTCTCGATTAGTTTCCTCACAGCTCAGTAAATATAATCACAAGAAATACATTTGCGATAGGTGTTTGAATTATTTCAATAACGAAACTCGTCTACATGACCACGAAACAATATGTTCCAGTTTCAATGAGTATAAAGTGTCTTTTCCCAAATATGATTACGTTGAATTTCGAAACCATATATATAAACAAAGGACTCCGTTTGTAATTTACGCCGATTTTGAGAGTCAATTGAGAAAAGTAAATTTGAAAATTTCAGATAAAACCTCGAAATACCAAAAGCACGAAGCTTACAGTGCTGCATATTACTTTAAATGTTCTTATGATGATTCAATATCATTTTTCAAAAGTTATCGTGGTCTAGATTGTATTGATTGGTTCGTGGAGGAAATATCTAATTTATCAAAATTTGTTCGTTCAAAATTTAAGGATATTATACCAATGGATAGTGAAATTAGTCTAGATCAAAGGTCGAGTCATTGTCATATTTGTGAAAAACCTTTTTTAAAAGAAGATGTTATTGTTCGTGACCATGATCATTTTACTGGTAAATTTAGAGGTTTTGCCCATCAGGCTTGTAATTTAAATTTTAAAAAAATATTTGTAGTGCCCGTAGTATTCCAGAACCTTTCTGGATACGATAGCCACTTCCTGCTTCCGGTTTTAGCAAAAAAAAGCTATGTATCCATAGTTCCGGTTAATAAGGAAAAATACATCTCTTTTACATATTTCGAACCTGATTATAACATAAAATTTAGATTTATAGATTCGTTTAGATTTTTGGGAGCATCTCTGGATAATTTAGTTTCCAGTATGGATAAAAATGAACTATATATTTTAAGAAAAGAATTTTCCGATCTCGACGAATCAAAATTAAATTTACTGTCGCAAAAAGGTATTTTTTGTTACGATTACATCGACCATATAGACAAATTAAATGAAACAACTTTACCCCCGATTGAAGAATTCTATAATAAATTAAGTGAAAGCAATATTAGTGAAGAAAAATATTCCCACGCACAAAGTGTTTGGCAGTCGTTTGAAATAAAAAATTTAGGCGAGTATTCAGATTTGTATTTAAAAACCGACGTTATTCTTCTGGCAGATATATTCGAAAATTTTCGAAAAACTTGTATGGCAACACACGTTTTGGATCCGGCGTGGTATTTCAGTATGCCCGGGTATACATGGGATTGCATGCTTAGATTCACAAAATGTCGTTTAGAACTTTTGCGCGACATTGACCAAATTATGTTTATCGAGCGGGCTATACGAGGTGGAATTTCGGTGTGTGTTGGTAGATATGCGGAGGCCAACAATAAATATATGCCCAACTACGATTCATCCAGGGATGATTCCTATATCATGTACTTTGACGTCAATAACCTCTATGGCAAGGCCATGTGCGAGCCTCTTCCTTACGGAGGATTCGACTGGATGTCTCATCAAGAGATTGATTCATTTAATGTCATGAACATTCCAGATGAATCTTCCCAAGGATATATCCTAGAGGTAGACCTGGAATACCCGCAGAAATTACATGACACACATAGAGATTTTCCATTTTGTGCCGAACATCGAGTGCCCCCCAATTCAAAGTTACCAAAACTAATGACTACTTTGTATAATAAAGAAAAATACGTCATACACTATCGCAATTTAAAACAGGCTCTCAAAAACGGTCTCGTACTAAAGAAAATTCACAAAATATTAAAATTTAACCAATCTCGTTGGTTGAAATGTTATATCGATCATAATAATAAATTAAGAACCCAAGCAAAGACAAAATTTGGTATAAATTTATACAAATTGTTTAATAATGCCGCTTACGGTAAAACAATGGAAAACATTCGCAAGCATCGTATTGTTAAATTTGTTAAAGCGTGGGATGGTCGCTACGGTGCGAAAAATTTAATTTCTAGTCCTAGATTTCACAGTAGAACCATACTTGATAACAATTTGTTGCTTATAGAATTAAAAAAATCGGAACTTTGCTTTAATAAGCCACTTTATATTGGAATGTCCATATTGGATTTGTCGAAAACGACCATGTACGAGTTTCATTATAATTACATGCTTCCAAATTTGGGTCCCGAAAAATGTAAAATTCAATACATGGATACGGACAGTTTCATTTATAATATCAAATGTTATGACGCATATGAAAGCGTTATTAAGGCCGATTTAACAAAATTTGACACGTCTGATTATCCTAATGACAATCCCTATAATATACCGCAAATCAACAAAAAGGTTTTGGGGTTGATGAAGGATGAGACTAATGGCACCATCATTAGTCATTATGCTGGGTTAAGGTCGAAAATGTATACTTTCAAAATTTTAACGGGTTCGGTAGTTAAAAAGTCAAAGGGTATTCAGTACAATATTGTAAAAAATAAAATTTCATTTGATGACTACGTAGAATGCTTAACAAATTTTAGGGAAAAGTACGCCACTCAACGAACCATTCGTTCATACACTCACAATGTATTTAGCATCGAACAAACAAAAGTTGCCTTGAGTCCTTTAGACGATAAACGTTATCTTTTGCCGAATTCATATGAAACGCTTCCGTGGGGACATTATAAAGTGCCGTAATTATTTTTTAATATATTTTTGTTACAGATTATGGTCAAACAACTTACATTAGAAAGCCTTTGTATTATAACAATTTGCGAAAATATTAGGTGTAGTGCTGATTTTTTGCTTGAGTCACCTTTGCCTTGGAAACTAACGATACTAATATTTAAATATTATTCGAAATATAGATGGAGGTACCTTAAACAACTAGCGCTCCAGTCTGATGGCAATTCTTTATTAAATTTAGAATTCATTCTGTTGAATAAGAGATTTGGATCGTCTTACAGAAATAGCATTTTGGCAACTCCAACCATTGATTTTGACGGAGAATCCGCTTACTGTTTATGGGTCAGTTATTACAGGATAAAATATTCGGAAATTTTAGTTTGTAAATCTTGTCACTTTATATTTCAAGTAGTTAAAAAATTTAAAAAGAAAAATTTTAGACTTTTATTGGATCACTATCATTTACAGCTGGATATAAATAATTTGAATGATGTATATCACGATAAACAATTTTGGTGTCAAAGCTGCTTTGAAGAAGTTTTGTTCACTGTAGAAACTGAAGATGAATGTAATTTAATGCTTCACGATGAGAGAAAATATGGAAAAAAGTTACGCTTTTCTGATAGCACATTGAACTATTAATACTGTGGTTTTATTATAACATATGTAACTGTAGATAAGGCTTTTATGTATTGATTGTATGCCATTGTATTGCAACAAGAATAAACATGTATATATTTAGACGCTATTTTCTTTTTTACCACCACCACAACACCGCATAATAATTACACAGAAGTTTGTAATTGTATAATTTATTTATTATATACATTATTACTATTTTACAATTTCGTTAAATGCTAAATTATTAAATTGTTCTAGTTTTCTTTTGCACTCTTGAGCTTGCATCCGCGCCACTTGCAAGTCTGTATTAAAAAGCGCAATTTGTGTTTCAATTTCGTTGATATTGCACTCTAATCCCGACAACTGAGACGCCAAGTTTCTTTTTAAATTGAATGCCTCACAAATGACACTTTTTTCTCTACCGTCCGTGAACACTTCGAGCCAATCAGCGGATGACGTTGGAGCTGCAAACGCTTCACTTGTGGTAGTTTTCTTCTTCTTCTTGCGGGATACGACCGACGCACTTTGTTTTCGTTTGGTCGCAGATTTTTTGGTTTGTTGCTCTACAGGAACGAAGCTGGACGGGAGCACTTCTGATGAAGGAAATTGCAACTCGAAATTTTCCAATAAATTATACAATTCGTTGGATGTCACAATTTTCTCTTGAGCCATCATATACACGTATTTATGTCAGAACTTCTAAATCGAGACTAAATTTATTTCAAAACGTCTACGTTGTCTACCCACGAATCGTGCGACTTATCCAATCCCAACCAGCGCACGAGAACCATATTGCCTCGTCTGCGCAACACCTTTTCGACGAGATATAAGTCCGGGTTAACTGTCTTCTGCAATTCTTCTTCATAAAATCCGCCCATTATGGGTTTACCCTGCATATCTTGAAGCAAATACGTTACGGGGTTAGTAACCCGTACTTTAACAATTTTAAACAATTCCGTGGTCCAATTCGGTGTATAACCTTTGTTGAAAACGTGCTTGACTTTGCTGATTCTAACGATGTCGCCGACTTTAAGTTTACGAGGACCGAATATTTTTATGCTACTATACGCGGTTTTCAAAATTCTCTTTTCGTTGCTCTTACTCACATCGATGGGTTTCGTACCCGTCGTTCTATGTTTTGTGTTATTGTATTCATCAACGATAGAGGCGAGCACATCGATCCATTTGTACGTCCCGCGTAAAGAAAAATGTCGAAACAATTTCTCTTTGAGGGTACGTATCACCCGTTCGACAATTGAGGCCTTTTTTATGCTATACGTACTATAGTGGTTAATTTTATGCTTATCCACAAGTTTCAGAAACGTGTCGTTGTAAAATTCTTTACCGAGATCCGTTTGCAAGTTTTGAGGGTGCCGTCCGTCCTTGAGAATTTTGGAAAACGCCTTGGCGACTTCGACCCCGGTTTTGGTTTTCAACGGGCGACACCATACATATTTTGAGAAACAGTCTATCACAACCAGCACGAATTTAAAATTTCTGTTTTGTTTGCTGTAGCGATCTAATTGGGCCAGATCCGCTTGCCACAGGTCATCCATCCCTCGTATTATAGTCCGGCGGCGAGCATAATTTCTGCGTGCCGGCTTGTGCAGTTCTCGAACCAGTTGTACCTTCTCTTTATTCATAATGTGTGTTCGGTTGCGATGGAGGATTTAAAACCCTTTGTTTCAATACCTTCATTATATTCTCATTTTCGTTCGTAAGTCGCTCCATTTTGGTTACAATATCATGAAATTGCTGTGACAAAACGGCGACTTTTGTCATGTGCTTTTCCAAATCTTTCTTTGCGCTCATTTCGCTTAGCTTTTGGTGGAAAACTTCGCGAAACTGCATAATTTCATTTTCGAGTGTAGTGCTACTCATTTTCAGTTGTTCTTCAAGACGCGAGAATTTAGTTTTGTCTTCAATTTGTAATCTTTTCGTGTACGCTTCGAGTTTCTGTCCAATAATCTTTCTCAATGCAATTTTTAATAAATTACTTGTCTCATCCACATATTTTTTGTTAGCCACGTCACCGTCATCGCTAGGCGTTTGGACATTGCAAATTTTTAAATTGTTCATATTGACGTTTCCGTCTGGCATATAGTCGAGGGCGCTTCTAATCACAGTATTAGTGAAGGGTCGTTTAGAGCGCAGCGCGCTAGAACGTCCAAACTTGTCCAGACTCATCGTTAAACTAACGTATAAAACCTGATTCTTTTAGCTCTTCAACGATTGAAACTATTTCGTTATCATGAGACGTGTTGCCTGCGTGTTTCGACGCGATTAGTAATTTCAGACGCTCTACGAGTTCATTGACGTCGTCCCAGTATACATATTCAGTAGGAGCGTCATTATAACGCATATTATAA